CGTCCACTTGAAGATGGAGAAAAGATTCTTGGTCCTGAAGTACCATACCTTAGTGCAATTGGAGCATTAACTTATCTTGCAAATTGCACTCGACCCGACATAACTTTTTCTGTAAATCTCCTTGCAAGATATAGCTCTACACTAACTCAAAGACATTGGAATGGTGTTAAACATATTTTTCGTTACCTAAAAGGTACTATTGATATGAGATTATTTTATTCTCAAAAGTCAGGATCTGCTTTAGTGGGATATGCAGATGCAGATTATCTCTCCGATCCACATAAAGCTAAATCACAAACAGGATATGTGTTTACACGTGAAAGAACAGCTATATTATGGAGATCTGTGAAGCAATCATTGACGAAAATATCCTCAAATCATTCTGAGATTATTGCAATCCATGAAGCAGGGCGAGAATGTATATAGTTGAGGAATATGACCCATCATATCCAATCATCATGTGGATTGATTTCAACAAAAGATAGTCCAACAATTTTGTTTGAAGATAATGCAGCTTATATCGCACAACTCAAGGGAGACTATATCAAAGGCGACAGAACGAAACATATTTCTCCAAAATTCTTTCATACACATGAACTTCAGAAGAATTGTGACATTGGTATTCAACAAATTCGCTCAAGTGACAATGTGGCTGCTCTATTCACAAAAGCGCTGCCAACATTTACATTCAAGAAATTAGTTTATGAGATTGGAATGCGTTGACTCAAAGATTTTTAGTGATCAATATTAGGGGGAGTAGCTGTACTCTTTTTCTTTCGCTTAGGTTTTGTCTCATTGGGTTTTCCTAGCAAGGTTTTAATGAGGCAGCATTTAATTTTAATACTCCAAAATAACTGTACTTTTTTTCCTTCGTTTGATTTTTTTTCCCATTGGATTTTTATCAAACAAGGTTTTAACGAGACAGATATTTTGTAATATGTTATTCAATGGGGAGTGTTGTAAATGGAAAGTCCATTAAAGTTTATTGGTGAATGACATTTGTATCCCTGTAGCCCTAGAAATTATTACCATTGTATCCCTAATTCTTACTTATAAATATAGGGCTTTGGTTTTCAATAATATACAGAGAAAGTTTATTGAGTTTTCTCTATTCTCTTTGAGTTTTCTCTATTCTCTTCTCCTCTCATTTTATAACATTATCAAAGTTTATTATTTTTAATAATATAATCAATAATAATTAACGTAATTGTTAACTTAACATAAAGTTTAATTCGTAAAGTTTACGTTTAAAGTTTAATTTAATGTAAAGTTTATTATTTTTGTAAATTTAACATAATTGTTTATAATAAATTAATAATATAATCAATTATTTTTGTCAATTTAACATAATGTATAAAATATGTGAATAATTTAGTAATCAATATATTTGTTAATTAATTAAGTTATGATTTAGTAATTTATATAGTTATAAAATAAATAAATAATTTTTTTAAATAAATACATTGACAAAAATCGAAAGAATGAATAAAATAATAAAGCACTGTTCATTTAACGTAAGTTTTAGTATAATAGTTGAAGAAGAATTTTGATTTGGTGTAAATTTTGGTACAGCGCTGGAGATGGCATCGCCACCTAATGTTACATAAATTAGCGTTTTACATTATTAGTGCTAAAATAATATAACTCTAATTTAAACTGACACGTCATTGACAAATGTGATGGTTCTCTATCCTTATATGCTTGCAGACGTGTAACCATGTCCATAAAATCAATTTAGTAATTGTATTTTAATGTTGCAATCCATTAGGGCCATCGACATGTATAGGAAAACGAATGACAATTTTTCTATTCCATTATTACTTTCAAATTTTGATGGACTTTATGTTCTTAACATTAATATAGTTTGGTACTTGATCGGCAGCATCTAGGATTAATGTAATTAATTTCGGTTGATCTGAGTATAATTTTAGGAGTGACAAAGGAAGTTCTATAGAAAATTTCATGTTAGTTCAGATGGTTACATCTCATCTAAGTACTAACAGCCTGATTACGCCCAAAGAATCACAGTATAGCTTGGGGGAGTCGATTCCACAGGGAGATGGAATGTTTTACAAAGGATCAAAAAAACTAGGGTTTTCGTGATTTTATGTGAGATGATTTATCAATTGAATTAAAGGATTAATATCAATATAGGTGAAGCGCTGGAATTCTCTCAATTAGATGGGTTCAATCAATGTCAATTTTACATGAGAATACTCAACTAAAAGTTTTCATCCCAACACTTTAATTGGAAAATAAAAACATTCAAACACTTATTTAATTTATTTAGTAATTCCAAATTTAGGTTTTTTTCACAATATAATTTCACAATGATTTATTGAAATTAGATCCCAAAACAATTATATACATCAAGTATATAATAGTAAAGAATAACACTAATAAATTGTTTGAAATTGAAAATCAATAAACATTTCAATTATTCAATGAAGAAAACATGATTGAATTTATAAAAATCTAATGTGAATTAACCCAATTCCAAAACATATCCAATAACATAAGAAATCTTGATTTAGAATTGTTCAATAATATAATCGAGTTCCTTTGTGACTTCACCGATTAATTTAGTTTTCCATGGAGTTCTTGTGCCCAGGATGAGAAAAAATAGACAGGAGATTGGGGGCGTGTTCTGGTCAAATTAGGACTTAAAATCGAGTGTCAAATTATTTTCAAAAGAGGTTGAACGGAATAAGGAAACTTGAAGATTCGGCCAAAAATTGTTTTGTGCGACTGCTTTCAATATTTTGGCTATAACTTTCTCTTTCGATATCCGATTAAAACAATTCAAAGTGCGTTGGAAAGTTAACACAATGGGCTACAATTGTGTTAAGTAGCTCTTTCCAAATTAGATTGTTTACTAGGTCAAAAGTGAATCTCACTCTCCGGCTGAAAATCTAGAAAATCCTTATGCAGTCAGAATTTGATTCGTGAAAATATTATGGTCATATTTAACTTCTTTTGATTTCTAATTACACCCAATGGACTCCTAACTTTCTTGAATCATCATTCCATCACCCGTCTCATTTTTAATTTTTTTGCAACTTGGTCCCTGAACTTTTACTTTAGTCCTTTTTCGCTCTTTTCTTCTAAATTTCACCGTATTCATCGATTTGCAACCTAAATCAAAATATAAGGATAATTAGTGCATTTAGGTGTCAATATATCATGCAAATACAAGTATAAATGGATGAAAACATGATAAATTGTGCTATTATCACAGCCTATTTTGTTGTGCTTAAAAATATAATATAAAATTTTAAGTAACTCATCAAATTAACTCAAGTGACTGGTGCAATGACCAGGTTGCCCCTCTTTTCTTCAATGCTGGATGATAACACCAGCTTTTGGACTTATTGGATTGAAGGAGACAATGGTCCTTAACTTATTGTCTACATATTATTCGCCTTGGATAGAACTACCTAATACTCAATTCTCCAAAAGGACAACAACAGTCCAAAGAGAGAATTTGTCCAATGATTGATGAATACAGCCAAGCGTTGTACTGAAAATTTCATTTAGCGCCATTCTTTGTGTACAAAATACAAATGGAAAAGTCATATATATAGGAGAATATGTAGCTTGCTATTTAAGCCGAAGGCCTTCGACTTTTATACATGGGTTGGTTCGCCTAAGTTCACGATGACTCAATTTTAACTTCGAATTTATTGTTCAAATAACTGGCTTGGTACAGCAAACTTAACATGTATCGTGTCATGCTTCACTTTAAGTCCGATCTTTAGCTTGATGTTTCTAAGGATTATTGAGAATTCTTTTGCTTATGGAAAGAAATCGTGGGAATAAGCCTATTATTGAGAAAAAGATAAACAATAGGCTAATAGGTTCAAGTGTAGTGGAGAATCGAAAGGATGATAAATAAGGGTGAGAGAAAAGTGAAAAGTATGAACCTCCATAATATATGGTATACATATATAGGTTTTTGTACTAGTATTAGAAAAGGGGAAAAAGAAGGAATTTTGGCAGATTTTGGTGATGGATTAGGAGGCAAGGAATGTGAATGAATGGTTATGTTAGGTGGGGGTGGTGGTGGATTTGATGATCATCATGCACGCCAGCAGCTTTTCTCTCTCTCCTCTCTCACTCTCACTCAAACTTATTTGTCACGCCTGCTCCCACTCAACCTAAACCCCCACCTCCATACACTCTTTCTCCCTCACCCACACGAGGAAAGAGTAATGTGTAGATGGAATTTTCTGATTTATTGTCTAATGGAATCGTAATGCATTTTCAAGATCCAAATCGTAATGCATTTTTCGTTGGAGGATGAATCAAGAAGCTTATTGTCCCTCGGATTGAAGTCTAAAGATAACTAGCATAGGTGTTAACATAATCACATCTCCATTAAATAAAGAATAAGACAATCCAATAACGTTAGCACGAAAGCACCTAAATGGGTAATAAGCACATAGTAAGCACTATTGAATATTAATAGAAATGAAATTGGATTCCTAAGACATGGAATTGGACTCCTTGTAGGCGCAGTGTACAAGCAGCTCTTGTTCCCTGATCTGCTGAAACACATCCCGGGATTTACCTTCCTCACAAAACTCTAAGGACAGACCAGTGGGGGCCCTCAAGATTGGAGTTCAACCTTTAGAAATGATCTCCTACTTATGGTGGTTAGCATAAAATATCTTCATCATTGACGTGATGTTGCCACTTCAGTAGTCAAATTTACCTTTTTTTCGTTAAATTATCAAAAATTGTAAACCCATATCAAGGTAAGATAACTCTTACCCACTATAGATAGAAGATCATCTCTATAAATAATAATTAGAATTTTATTAGATAATGAATCAAACAATCTACCAACAATAACAAAACTCCCACCCCTTACAACCCCTCTCTCACCCACCCACTCACTCACCCACACACAGATAGCACATAGTAGAAAAAGCTAATCCACTAGGCCCATTTGATGAAATCGACTTTATTTATCTTTTTGCTCACAGCCTACATCTTTTGTCAGACAATTCTATATCTAAACACTATCCACTCCATGCCAACTTCTATGTTTTAACAGAAACACCTATTTTAGTCATCTGAATTCCTCCTTGTTCCAAGAACAATACTCAATCAGATTCTTCTCTCTCTAATTATACTTCTTGTATGCTTTTACTAATTAAAAACCTAGCAAAATTCCAACTTGAAGATCCTCAATCCCTCTCTACTACCCTAATTTAACATAAACCACTCCAACAACCCAGTGAAGAGAATCAAACAAAGGTTCGATTTTTATTTTTGTTTCTTGATGTGGGTCTTTTGATTAGATGGATACTTTGTTTAGACTAGTCAGTCTTCAATCTGATCAGTCTTTGAATTATTCGAGTAGAACTTCAAGCAGTTCTAGATCTTCTAGACAAAACCCTAATTACGAAGAAGATAAAGAATGCTTCAACGTTTTCATGGATGAAGAAGACTTTTCTTCTTCTTCTTCAAGACACTATCATCCCTATCAACAGCAGCAGACCTCAAACACTCCCACACCCACCAACATTAGCGGTGGCGGCGGCAGCGCCACCCCAACTCATCATCATCTTCCTAGTTATGATCAATCAGCTGATCAATTCTCTTCCTCATTTACAAATGACATAAACCTTGAATTTGAATCATCATTCTCTGGTAAAAACAGCAAGTGGGCTTCTGACATCCTCCTCGAGACAGCAAAGGCCATTGCTAATAGAAACAGTGCTCGGGTTCAGCAGCTTATGTGGATGCTTAATGAGCTAAGTTCACCCTATGGCGACATCGATCAAAGGCTTGCTTCTTACTTCCTACAAGCATTATTTAGCCGCATGACGGATTCCGGTGATCGTACTTATCGCACTTTGATCTCAGCTGCCCAGAAGAACTGCTCCTTTGAATCCACAAGAAAAATGGTATTGAAATTCCAGGAGGCAAGTCCTTGGACTATGTTTGGGCATGTTGCTAGTAATGGTGCAATTTTGGAGGCTCTTGATGGTGAAAGCAAGTTACATATAATTGATATAAGCAATACGTATTGCACACAGTGGCCTACTTTGCTTGAAGCCCTAGCCACTCGCACAGATGAAACCCCTCACCTGCGGCTGACGACGGTGGTGGCCGGAAAAGGTGGCGACACCGACGGAGGTGCTGCTGCAGTACAGAAGGTGATGAAAGAGATAGGAAGTAGAATGGAAAAGTTTGCTAGACTTATGGGTGTGCCCTTTAAGTTCAATATCATATACCATGCAGGCGATTTATCAGAACTGAATTTAGCTGAAATGGACATTAAAGAAGATGAAGCACTTGCTATAAATTGTGTTGGGGCCTTACGTTCCGTTACAACAATTGGTAATCGCAGGGACTTTTTGATGTCCATGTTTAGAAGATTATCGCCTAGAATTATCACAGTTGTTGAAGAAGAAGCTGATCTAGATATTGGTGCTGATGGTCTTGAATTTGTTAGGGGATTTGAAGAATGCTTAAGATGGTTTAGAGTTTACTTTGAGTCATTAGACGAAAGCTTTCCAAAAACAAACAATGAACGTCTGATGCTGGAACGGGCCGCCGGGCGAGCGGTGGTTGACCTGGTGGCTTGCCCTCCGGCGGAGTCGATCGAGCGGCGGGAGACGGCCACGCGCTGGTCAAATCGTCTACATGCAGGGGGATATATCCCAGTTTCATTCAGTGATGAAGTGTGTGATGATGTACGCGCTTTTTTGAGGAGGTACAAGGAGGGTTGGTCAATGGCACAGTGCTCAGATTCCGCCGGAATATTCCTTTCGTGGAAGGATCAGCCGGTGGTGTGGGCTAGCGCATGGAAGCCAGTTTGATTATGACATGTATAACGTGTGTTGGCAAAGTGCATGGAAGCCAGTTGGTGAATTAATTTGTTGAAAGGAGAATGGAAAATGCTGGGAGAAGAGCACTAAAGGTATTGTTGTTTGTTTTCTTTTAATTCAAAGAATTTCAAGTAAAAAATCTTACTAATCTTGTTAACATATCGTGATTTTCATTTTTTTTTTTTCCTTTTTGAGTTATCTTGAAAGATTGGTTTTGGCATTGTCTTCGAATTTTTTTTACGAGGATCGCATTATGTGTTCGCTAGGACGCACCATATAACACTAGCTAGCAAAAAAAAAAAAAAAAAATTAAAATCTTAATTATTGTAACATGCGATCAGATTAGTCCAATACTATGTCTTAAACATATGCACGTCTACTTTTTACTAAGAAATGAAAAGTCTTTCTTGAATTAGATGCGATGTCGAGATCATTTGATCCAATAATATTCCATTAAATAGATTCTTAATCTAGTTGTGTGTGCTTATGTATGCATGTTTGTTCAACCTCTATGATTTGAAATTTTAAATTTTTATAAATATAAAGTATGTTAGTTTGATTTAATGGAGTTGGTATTAATGATATCAGCAGCAATTACAAGTGTTGTCATGACAGCTACAAAATTGTTTAAAATTCGTGAAATTTATTTACTTTAGTTAAGAACTTGGTAAGGGTCGTTATCTTGTTTGGGACCATAGAATCTTAGGACGGCCATTGAGTTGGGTATTGTTTGGTATTCTATCAAAAGCTGTTTAGTCATTAATGTTATTATTAAATTTTGTTGTGAACTCGTACCAACTTATAATATTGAAAGAACTCGGCGTAAACCTTACTCGATAAGTTTTGGTGTGACTCATACCAACTAATAATATTGAAAGAAATTGGGCGAAAACCTTACTTGATATGATCAAATAAGATAATTACTGTAAATATGCACTATACGTAAGAAAAAGAGTAAGTGCATGTTCGATATAAATTTTTTAAAACTCGTTTCCACCATACGTTTTTCAAATAGAGTAAGTTTAGATGTAAATCCATAATTTTTTCCTACTTTTAAAAACATTCTCCAAAAAACTTTTTTTATAACAAAAGATATTCTCAAAAAACTTCCGTTAATTTGAATTACCAAATCTTGTAAAATTAAACTTGAACCAGAGACAACATTGGTCCACCACTTTCAAGATGGAATTTTAGATTTTGAATATAATATACATTGTGACACGTTGGTGTCGTAACATTAAGGGAAAAAGAGTTTACTTTAGGCCCACTTAAAAAGAGGAATTACATTGTTCGTAGTGGGAACTTCTTTTTAGGGTTTCTTTTGATAGGACTTGCCCCCTCCACTTTCTACCTTTATTCCTTCTTTTTATCCTTTTCATCTAATTTTTAATGACATTATTTTATAATCTTTTTAGTTTTTACACCCTGGGATGCAGAGCATGGTCCCTTTTAAATTCTTTTATTGAAGCTTCAGTTTGAACATTGTCCATACCAGGTGAAATTTGAGGAAATTTTCATAAATAAATATTTTCCACCAAGCCGCTGTCTGGTTCCCATTATTCCCTCATTAAAATAAAAAATATGCCCGTTATCCATATATCAAACCATCAAATTTGAATTTCTATCTTTTTTGTAGGACCCGTAACGATTATATTTTTCATTCTCATTCTTCCAAAAATAAGAAACAAACAGGAGCTAAATTGTTGATTATTTACAAATTTGGAGAATATAATGTAGTTAGGAACATCTTTTCAAAAAAATTTCTCGTTAGAAGCAATCATGAACCAATTATTACTCTTTTTTTGGTCATGGATGGTGACTACACAGCTGCCAGTAAAATTTGAAACGAAAAGAAAAACATATTATCCTATTCATGCGTGTTGTGTCTTGATCTCGATAAATTTTCATGAAGATGATAAACGTGCACGTAAAAGCGATATCATCTTACAATTTCAACAATATACACCTAATTACTATTCTCTGCAATATAAAGACTAATGAGGATTGAAGAAAGAATATTTAAAGAGCAAGAACAAATATATGGTATCTCAATACTTGTCACTCCACCTATAAGGAACCCTCCATCTTTTATGCCAATATATTGACACCCTAGACCACAGTGGGAACCCAAAATTGTACTCGAGAGGCTGATCCGCGGCTCCTCCTACTATTAAAGGCAACCATACGTACCTCGAGTCTCTCAGGTCAGCTGGATTCCACCGATCTGCCATAAAGATGAAGGAACCGGGGAGATTGGGTAAGGGAAGCACGAATGTGCTTTGAGCAAAGAATGTCGTTTGTCGAAATATCTTGTTTCCACCAATGCATGGGTTTCCCATGGTCTCCCATGGACCCAAAATGGACTCCGCTGCATGAGCAAGAGCCTCATTTGGAGCCCACCCAGTGCAGCCGGATGTGATCATGTAATATGTTCCGCCATGTTTGAAAAGAGCAGGTGCTTCCCGGTGTTGTCCAGCGAGCATTCTACTGACCTCACTTGTCACGTCAAGATAGTCTCCATTAAGCGGACCAATATGAAGCTCACTGTTATCCTCAGACGAGTAGATAAGATATGCAACACCATTGTCATCTTTAAAGATTGTCATGTCTCTACTTTCAAACCCATGTGGCCGTTTACTGTAGAGATAATCAAAGGGGCCGGTTGGGTAATCGCTGACGGCAACACCCACCGAGGCTTTTGTGTAGTTTACATCATCAATATGCATCCACATTACATATTTCCCAGTCTTGTCGTTGTAAATTACTTTGGGTCTCTCAAGCACATTGGACTTGTGTAGGTCGTGAGTCTCGTTTTTCTCTTCTGCCGCAAGCACAATACCTTCATTTTTCCATGTCCATAAATCTTTCGAAGAATAACATCCCACACCAATAATATCAACCTGTAAGGTAAAGACAAGTTAAGCAGCTCAGTCAGCATCGAGCATATGCAATGGGTTGGAAATGGTACTGGTAGAAAATGCTAGTCTCTTAACCTACAAGGGATTTCAAAGCAACAAAATGCTCAAACGTGTAATGAATAGCCATATATCAGTATGTATTTTAACAAAAATCTTTGAAAAGATTAATCTATATGCTTTATTTTTCAGTGATCATTGATACACAATTTTCAAGTCTATGTATAATTATGTGCAAGATAATGACTAGCACAGGAATTCAAACTTGATGATCCCTCATCAAATTGAGAAACTATAAATTGCAGTCAGAAACAGAAAGCATACTTCTATACAGCTTTGGCCCAGAGAAAATGTCTTGCATTCCACACACTGGGGAAGGATATCTTATTTGATGTGTTCCTAGTGGCTGCCCCCGGTAATAAAGGATGTGCCATATAGAACCTAAAACCTTTTGTGCTGGTAATTACACAATAAGGATGTCAGCATCACTTTCATATCCTAAACGGATAGTATCGACGCTTGACGCTACGAATTGATAGGCCTTGCTAGGCTAGGGCCTATCAATTCTAAGACTCTTAATAGCTAGTTAAGAGTATACTAGGATTTCTAACAATCCCATTACATTAATAGGATGTATCTCAGTCCTCCCAAGAGTTCTCCAGGGCGCGTATAAGAGTGATAACGGGCATAACGTGCTCACGGCCTAAAGCGCTATTCTTACCTTCTAGGAATGCATTAGTACTTTAAAGCAAAAGCACAACTACAAGCAAGTTAATAAAACTTCTTGGATTCATACTGAGTCTTCGTTTGTTTAGCAACTTACATAAAGCAACTGGATAATCACATGGCAGTGTTCAAATCTTTCATTCCAAGAACCATGATATGGGCTATTAGAAAGTATTTCACTCAAGTTTTGAACATACGTAATTCATTAATCTGAAGGCTCCCAAGATTGGCTGATCTTAGAAACTGCCCAATCAGAAATTTATGATAGTTCGGGTGAATACCCTCGACAATGACTTAGGCACACTCAGTTTCTGAAAATAAAGAGAATAGCAAAATTATTTGAAGCTCATTATGTTTCCAAGATCTCCAGATGCTGAAGTCCAAACCTCAAATTTTGTAAAGCAGCAATGCTGATTTCAATTTTAACCCTAAAATGTCATTTTTAACTAAATCCCAAGGCTTACCAGTGTCTTTATGATATTGAAGTCCAGCCCACCTTGTGCAACAGCTTATAACATTGGTAATCTAGATATGCGTCTGAATTTCCAAAAGCACAAATATATTGCTCAACTGATTCATCAAAAGTCTCTTAAGAAATAAAAAAACATACCACACCCCATTGGGCACTAAACATTCCTATATGCTCGTGGACTGATTGTCAAACAAAAAGTCATAATTCTGAAACCTAAAAGCTAATTTAATATGTATACACCATATCTTGTCTAAATGAAGTAACATCTTTTGTAACTCGTGCCTTTAACCCTCCTAAAAGTTTATCCTCAGTGTACTGGCATCAAGTTATCACTTGTTCGTAATCTATCACTATGTTGGAATAGGGAATCCCTTAATAAAAATTAGAGGAAATAAGACATTGTCCAGTATAATCTGGCACCCTTCAAGTCATGAGCCATATCACCCCGCCCACTACCCCCACAGCCAACAGTGTTCCATTCACAGGTGGATGTCCAACAAAGTTCAGCTCATTTGAGAACCTCCATGGTGTCCTTCAGCTTTCGGATTCTAGGGCCAACGGCACACTCAGTTTCTGAAAATAAAGAGAATAGCAAAATTATTTGAAGCTCATTATGTTTCCAAGATCTCCAGATGCTGAAGTCCAAACCTCAAATTTTGTAAAGCAGCAATGCTGATTTCAATTTTAACCCTAAAATGTCATTTTTAACTAAATCCCAAGGCTTACCAGTGTCTTTATGATATTGAAGTCCAGCCCACCTTGTGCAACAGCTTATAACATTGGTAATCTAGATATGTGTCTGAATTTCCAAAAGCACAAATATATTGCTCAACTGATTCATCAAAAGTCTCTTAAGAAATAAAAAAACATACCACACCCCATTGGGCACTAAACATTCCTATATGCTCGTGGACTGATTGTCAAACAAAAAGTCATAATTCTGAAACCTAAAAGCTAATTTAATATGTATACACCATATCTTGTCTAAATGAAGTAACATCTTTTGTAACTCGTGCCTTTAACCCTCCTAAAAGTTTATCCTCAGTGTACTGGCATCAAGTTATCACTTGTTCGTAATCTATCACTATGTTGGAATAGGGAATCCCTTAATAAAAATTAGAGGAAATAAGACATTGTCCAGTATAATCTGGCACCCTTCAAGTCATGAGCCATATCACCCCGCCCACTACCCCCACAGCCAACAGTGTTCCATTCACAGGTGGATGTCCAACAAAGTTCAGCTCATTTGAGAACCTCCATGGTGTCCTTCAGCTTTCGGATTCTAGGGCCAACAGTCGAAATCAAGAACAACTCATTTTCTGTTAACTGGCTCACAATCAAGAGACTGGAACCTATATTTAAGGCTTCTGTCTTAATATCATGGTTCCAGATTAGCAACTCCACAACAAAGCCAGCACTCACGCATTGACGGAGACAAAGCAGAATATCCAACGTTTGCTGTTGTTCTGTACAAGCTACGATTGATGTTAGACAATCTAGGAGACATATAAAAGAAGTTAGCATCAGACATTCTGCTAAAATCTATTTCTGGTAAAGGTGCCTGAGATAGAGTCGAAGCTATGCTCTCCATTTCTCTTTCTAAGTCACAAACACATTAGACAGAGTTTTTTGCGCTCTCTCTTCCCGCCTCTTTGAGTTTTCAGAACAAGGGTCCCACATGGTGTTTCTAATTTTCATCATCAGTCTCAGAGTTCTTGGAATATGAGGCCTGCCTTAATCTTTCTTCACGACAATCAAACCCAAAACCATATTCAAATTTTCAACCACTGATTTTCCAAGATCATGAGATTTACGGGGACCTGGAGAATAAATCACTCATAGGTTTAATGTCCCGAAGAAAGAAGCCTCCAATTTGACAAAAGGAAATCTAACTTTACAACAACAAATAAGACTAATTATAACATTCCCTAACTACAATGAACCAACTTTCTTTACATAACAATTTTGAATGGAAGAAGTTCCATTGACTATTTCATCGCACCTGACATGAAAATTCCATGTGTAGACCTTGGAAGAGAAAATGAATCTATGTTGCACGGGAGGAGGCGCATTAAAGATACATATATATTAGAAATCTATTTCCTCTATGATAACTTGATTTTATGAGTTGGTTTAACATGTCCTGGTTCAAGTTTGCATCTGAAGTCCGACATGTCTACATATGAACTTGTTTGAGGGAAAGAGAAACTGTTTCTCGCATCATGTTTATGTTGTGTGAGAGGGCAGTGGTGGAAAGTATGGATGGATGATTAGGTGGACAGATTCCAGTAGAACAAAATGTTGGAAAAATTAGTGTATAGATTATATTATGTTAACTAAAAACACATGCATGCAAATATTGTAAAATTGACACTGGTGCAAAATATCGGATAGGTTTTTGACTAACAGAAATCCAGATACATGCATCATAATGAACAAATCACCGACTTAGTGACTTACTGAAACATGGAAATTTCAAGGAGATAAAATAAAGTGGATTGCAAATATGCATTTTCGCCCTACATTGATATTAACGAAACCAAATGAACGTGTATCTTCCAAGATTCAACACTTCTTTCGAATTACTATAGCACATTACTAATTTTGTCAAACGAACCAAAGTTGATTGTACTCTTCTAAATCGGATTGTATTGAGTATTAAAATATCAAGCACCATTTTCAACCACACAATCTTCAATAAAATAATATTACAAGTAAATCACAAACTTTTCATTCTTTTACAATCAGCCATTTTTCAAAAAAACACTATTCCCCCCATTATAATCAAAATTCATGGAGACCAAACGTGGGCTAAAACATTAAATCATATCTATTAAATCCAATGAATTTCAACATAGAAAACCAAATCCAAGGAATTGAAGTAAGCCACGGCGAGTCCAATTATGAATCGGGACCTTTGTTATCCTGAACCAAACACTCCCTTAGTTAATAACAGCTACTCAGCAGTCAACATGTAAGAGGTTTCAGCTGCTATTGCAGCCCCATAATTAAGCTTGGTGTGTTTCGACACTTGCCTATTTTAGTATGAGCTATTGAACGCAGGTGTATCTATTTGTCAATTAGGCGTTTGATGAACTCAATAGTTTTTAAAGAAGTCTATGAGATGAACACTTAACTATACAACTACTTAAGACATGATTTCACATGACATGACTTCTCATTTTAAACTTGATCCAATCCTGTTGATTCCCTTGACCTTACTTCTATTCCACCCAATCAATGAATTCACAACACTTCAATCTACCTTTATTTTTCTCCTCCAAGGGATCCCTCAGATTTGACCAAACTTTTTATATCTCTCGAAAGATCATTTATATCATCAATGATCAATTCTTTCATATTTCAATCAGCTGCAGCTTCATTTTTCCCCTATGTCCATTTCATCCATTCCAAACTCTGGTTCTTCATCTTGAGTGCACCAATACTATTAAGATTTGGGGTCCATCTTAATAAGGTCAACCTTATTAAGAGGGGTGGCCCAAAATCTATTTAAGTTGGTCAATATTTCAATATTTAACCGATGTGGGATTCCCTTAACATGCCCCCGCAAGATGGTGGCTCTTTTTGAACGGACCAATTTTAAAATCCGTGTGCTCATTTTTTAGACTTAATCGGATCGAATAGCACGTTGGAGCTTACTGGGCTCTGATACCATGTTAAGATTTTGGGTCCATCTTAATAAAATCAACCTTATTAAGAGGAGTGGCCCAAAATCTATTTAAGTTGGTCAATATTTCGATATTTAATCGATGTGGGATTCACTTAACAAATACAAAGCCCACCTCTTCTAAATCCAATACAAAGTAGTCTCCCATCATATAAGTAGAAACCAAGATTTAAGGTGCTAGTCGTATATATACAAAAAAGGTCATTTATTTTTTATGGATCTAACGCAAGCAACTATCTCGTATATGCTATTATCCTTCAAATGAATGATACTATGATCCTGTGATGCAATGCTCCAAATTAAGTCAAACACAGCATGCTGTAAAGAATCCATTGCTTAAAAGGAAAAAAGGGATGGTTTGAAATTTCAAGGAGATTAAGCAACTTGTTGAGTTGATTAAGGTTTACAGGCTGGACAGTGAAAAGAGAAAAGAAATTGATTACAGAGTAATTGAATAGATGAAAAAGAGGACATGATAAAGAGAATTAAATAACGAAACAAAGCCTTCATACTGTGATTGATCGAGAATTCGAGAGGCTAGAATATTCTACGAAGTGCGAGAGAATTCAATTAGAGTGGAAGGAAAGTAACATGCAATACAGGAAAAAGACAGTCTATGGCTCCTATGTTTAAAAAACAACGTAATTATAACTTCTAGTTACACAATATAACTTCTGGTGTTAGAATTTTAAAGCTTGGCCTTTGTGTGGAATGCAGTCAGTTTTCTAGGTGTTTTAAAAGTACCTCCTATGCACAAAAGCAGAACATAGGAAGTGTATGGCTCCTATATTTAAAAAACAACGTAATAAAAGAAACAGTCATGATGTTATTCATTAATTAGGAACATGTAATCCAGCCCAAAGGGTAAATTTTATATTAGAACTTACCCGGGCAGCTCCCTTTTTGTGAGCATGGTAAGTGGGACCATCTTTATACTCGCCATACCAATAGTACGTCCTTGATCTATCATCATATAGAATGCCACCTCCATGGGCTTGAATAGGATTTCCATCGGTGTCCAGCCATATTTTTCCCGGGTAATAGTAGAAACTGTTGTTTCCAGCATCCTTCATAGGATCTATAGCAGTTTTCATACCAGGAAAAAATATGTGCCTTATTTGGGAAGACTCATCAAGGAATTCGTCAATCAAGGTAGTTGGCCGTTTAGGTTTCCGTTTAACAGCACGTGGGGATCGCTTCCTTGGTGGGGGCATTTGGATATTTTCCTCCTCGACTTCTTCAAGCTGGAGTAATAGTGGGTGATGGATACCCATATGCATCTCTTTATTTTGTACATCAGTGTGATGAACTAACGTGAAAAGATGCAGAAAAATAAGGCATCCCACCAGGCTCCACAACACAACAGCCAGTGAGCTTCTGCTCCCTGCATTGCAACCTAAAGCGGTTGGTTTCTTGTATTTGTTTTTGATTCTCATTTTGTTCCCTTTTCTGTCTTCAAGTTTATGCTGAAAATAAGAAGTATGGAGATCCAAAACTAAGGTCAATGATCACACTAATTTTATTTACAACATGAACAAATGCTTGCCTACATATATAAATACACACAAGCAACCATTTTAGTTTTCTAGTGATGATCTCTAAGCAGTCGCAATATTTTAAGTGTACATAAAATTCTAAAGATATTGATAAACAAACTGATTATTTTGGAGTACATTATGAAATTGGAAGGCAATCGTCATCTTGATATATGGACAAATTGTATATTTCATAGTGCCTTTAAGTGTTTATGAGCTATGGGCGCTATAAAATAGGTGAATAATAAGTGAATAGTACTTGTAGGACCTACGTAATGTGAAGATAAAAAAGTATGTTTATAACTTAAGCTTTGCCAAACATTAAAAAATCATATCCCTACAGTAAAATCATCACAATGCGACACCAAATTCACCATTTTGACTTCAATCAACATAGTGTATTTTCGAAAAACAAATATTAGGTGATGAAACCAAACAGACTATCAACAAGGATTACTGAGGTAATTCCTATAATTTTCACTGAAGAATTAAAACACATTTGTTCCATTTGCAGCAGTCCAATCCATTTAGTGCTACAAAATAGAAACAGCTAAAAAGGCAATAATTGAGAAATTAAAACGGCTCAAAACTTGTGATTTTAAAAAGAAACAGACCACCCCAAAACCCTACATACCCATGGCAAAACTAGATACAATATATAAATTTATTGAGTTCAGACCCATAGTCAGATCGAAATAAATCCACAAAGCTTTTTCAAATTTAAAATATATAAATTTATTGAGTTCAGACCCATAGTCAGATCGAAATAAATCCACAAAGCTTTTTCAAATTTAAAATATATAAATTTATTGAGTTCAGACCCATAGTCAGATCGAAATAAATCCACAAAGCTTTTTCAAATTTAAAATATATAAATTTATTGAGTTCAGACCCATAGTCAGATCGAAATAAATCCACAAAGCTTTTTCAAATTTAAAATATATAAATTTATTGAGTTCAGACCCATAATCAGATACAATATATAATTTTATTGACTTTAAGCCCGATAAATTATAATCAAAAATCAAAGCAAGAACACATCTACACAAAAATTGAAAATTGAAATTTTTCTGAAGTCTGCCTAAAGTCAAATAAGCTTACCCGAGGACAATACAGTTCCAGACATGGGTATGTCGCTCTCTGCCCTCTTTAACTCTATCTCCGTGTAAACTTCAATATCATGAGCTAAAATTTATGTATTTTTACCAATAATGTATAATGATCTGGAATTCATCTCTTTAACAAGGTCAAGGTGTCACAATTCCGGTTCAAGATTTTGCTCTTACGCGACGCAGAGTGAACTGGAAGAGAATATTTAAGCGAGAGAGAGAGTTGATTGCTGTTGAATCTTGCTTGCGATGATGATGACTTCAGATCAGGTTCCCGTCCTCTCTCTAAAACATCCGTGTACTCTGGAAGATTACGGATGTAGTGTGCAGATTACATTAGATCATTTCTGATATATAAAGGTAATAGATAGATTTTGTGCTCTGTTGGATGGAGTTGACAATTAAATGCAACTCTATTAAGCAATCTTAAAAATAATTAATGTACAATGATTTGGTTATAGGGTATAGATAGCCAACAAGTAAAATAATGGAGTAGGTGATGCAATTAAAACTTGTTGCCTTGAGATGTTGAAAATATCATACGTTTCTACTAGTGCATGTTTGACTAATCTTACAAGTTTACTTATAAGTGGCTTTAAAAGATATAATTTTTAATTAATCAAAAGTTGTTGACCTTTAGTTAGCGAATATGAGGTCGCATGGTTTGAGCTCCCCTTTTTTAGGCCGATAGGAAGATAAAGGATTTGTCGTTATTATGTTCAACAACTATTTCGCTTTTAGGAATGATGAGGTTAAGATCAACTTCTTTCGTTTAGTTGGAAGGTTTGCTTAGTCACAAACCACCTTGGCGTACCCTTCCTCATTGGCATCGCACATATGTAGTTTTGAAATTATTGGAGGGACTCTAATAAGACATGTTATGGTTTGTAGGATCGATGAACCCTATGTAGTCCATTCGCGGCATCCATGTGCGAAGAAGTCATAACTAAACCCCATGTTTGGTTCAACTAGTAGTGAGCACGTGCAGAATGAATGATATACGTAATACTTTTAAAGTAATGCAATTGATAATGTTAAAAGAAAAAATTAAATTGTTAATATATATATATATAAGTTTTATCAAAATTACGTACAAAAAGTGAAAATATTGAATAAATTAAAATGTAATGATTTGTTCATAGTAGGCTTTGGTTGGACCCCTATTTTCAACTATTACGACAATATCGACAAATTTTGTGGTACAGACAGATACGAAGAAAAATCAACTTAGAATATGTACATTTGATTAAATTTAAAATGTTTACGTATAAGTAAACTAAAGGTACGTAAATAATTTTCAAATTAAAAAATTATTCATTTTGTCTGTACCATAAAACTTTTTTACCTAAAAAATTTAAAACCATAAATTATCTTATCTAAACATATTTAGAAATAAAAAATTACCTATTAATCATGCTCATCATATTAATTTGTAGCATTTATTTTAAATTAGAAACCAATGTTACATTCAAAATAGTTATCGAAATGAAAAATCTTAAATAAAAGATTTCCTTTTATTTTGAATGGGATTAATACAAATAG